CTGAAAAAACACAATTTGGCTCCTGGAAAGCTGGATGCTTCTTGGCGTTTGCTTCCTTCGGATGGTCCAGTTACTGGCAGTTCAGGTCCGAATCACACCGAAAACATACAACAAAACCTTCTTGACCCTCAATCTTGGTTTACGCCGACTAACTGATCTTCAACCACGACCGTCTTTGTTTGACGTTGCTGTAAGTGGTCCACTTGAGATTTCGATTTTTTTGCAATCCATAAAGTCTCGTTCATTCATGTGGCAGCCACGATTCGAGTTTCTTTGTGTATCCACTCTTTTTCAAGTGACTCCAAACTATTGTTTGCGCATTGTTTAGCTCCTGGAAAATCGAAACAGTTCTCGCATGACGGTAGGCCTCTGATTTAAGTGATCCATATTCTCCCATTACCTTTCAGTAAAAAATATTATCTTTCCAGCGGAATCAATCGCAATCCAATCACGTTTTTCGAATGCAACATACGAGATCACAAAAGCCATGCATTGCAAAAATTGATTAATTTTCACTTAACAATATTTAAAAAGCGATATTTAGAAGTAATTAGATGTATGTAAAATTATTTTACATTAATAGAGTAATTACTTTTATTTGGTTTAATTTATTTTATATCATTCCACTTTATTTTATTTTATTTTATTTTATTTTATTTTATTTTATTTTATTTTATTTTATTTTATTTTATTTTATTTTATTTTATTTTATTTTATTTCATTTTATTATATATTTTTTTATATTACACTTTTTAATTAAACTTAAGTAATTTTTTTTTCATAATTTTATTTAATTCATTTTATTTTATTTTAGTTTTTATCTCCTTTTATTTTATTTCTTTTACTTTATTTTATACTATTTTACTTTATTTTGATTTATTTTATTTTATTCTCTTTTGTTTGATTTATTTTCCTTTATTTCTTATTGTTTTTATTTTATTTTACTCTCATTTATTGATTTGGACTTTATTTTGTTTTATTTATTTATTTATTTTTTTTGTATTTTATTTTTTTTATCATATCATTGAAATTTTACTTTAATTTATTTAGTTTAGTTTAATTCAGTTTTAATTAAATTTCTTTTATATTTCACGTGTTTTTTCATTTTATTTTATATATTCTTATTTTTTTTTTATTTTGTTAATTTCTCATCAGTTGCAAAAAAATTTTAGTTTTAGCCAAAAAGTATTTGATTCCAAGAAATTGATGTATTTATGTTGCAATTTAAACCTCTAAATAGCTGTCAAATTAGTTAATTACCCCAGCTGCGTCAACAAAATCAAATTAGAACATCAACACTTATAATCATTAAGTAAATGATTAAATCGATCGAGCTTTTGAAGTGATTTTTAAATGTCAAAATCAGCACCTTCTTAGAAACGCCAATTAGTTCCGTATAAAAACAATGCCAATGACCTGCCAAATGAAAAAAAAAATGTTAAAAAAAATACTACTTGTGATATTTTTGAATTTAAATAATTTACTAGTAAAAACAGGCAAGTTTTTTTGAGAATCGTGTAAATTTTTCGGTTGAATTAAAAATGATTTAATGGCATTTAACTAATAAGCGTTTGTCAAAGTCTCAATCGGTGAGCGGTGTAGGCCACTAAATATGCGATGGATTTCAGTTTGAAATACAATACTTATGCATAAATAAATATGTCTTTAAATAAATATGTGTTGGTATGTATGTCTGCTCCACACAAAGAAGACGAGCGAATGATGAGCAAACAAGCAATAAAAGGCTTTAGATTGATCGCCAACAATTAAGCTTGTTGTAAGCACGTTCATAGGAATAGATTAAACAACACATACATACAGCTACTCAGCAAGTAAAATGTATATATATGTATGTAAAATGTATATATGAATACTCAAACAAGCTTCGGGCAAAATAATTTGCCAAAATTGATTTTTTTTCTTTCAACTCATTTAAAATTAATTATTTGAGTTCTTGCTAGAGCTAAAATCTAATGTAATTAAATTTACTTTTAATTTCAAAAAAATATTAAAAAAATAATAAAATAAAATAAAAAGGAATAGCAAATAAATTCTATTTATAAATTGCAATATAAATGGCCAATAAGCCATAAATAATATCAAGTGATCTAAAAATACCGTAAAGCGTATAAGTTGTAAGCTTTCCGAAAACAGTTTTCACATTGTCATTCCCACAGATATGTTCAGACACACATATGTATGTACATACATACCTACATATATTTCCTTATACTCCATAACTGACAACCACTCATCCCAAGTGCAAACATGTCATAACTTACGGCGCAGCGCGAATTTCATCTTTACCTGGTGGCACTGGTGGCATTGTCTACGGTGACAGCCAGCTCCCAAGCACTCACTCAACTTACATGCCTCGAACTCCCAGCTGACAGCAGTGCAGGCAAGCGCAGAGAGCATCACTTTGGTCATGGCTGGGAATTTTTTTTCAGTTTCTTTTTAAATCATATGAAATTTTTTATTTTTTTCTTTGTCTTTTACGCTGATGAAGCGCTTATAAATTGCCTTCTGACAATCATATTGCCAACTGTCGGCTACACAATTGATATTCCATTCAATCAGAGCAAGCATGTTGTACGTACGAGTACGAGTTGGTTTGCTGTGGCAGCCGATGCGGTAGGAGGCAGGCAAGCAGAGAGGTAGTCATTTCAAGCTTTCAATGTATTTAGTTATGATTATTGTTGCAATTGATGTTGCTCGTTTTGTTGCTCTCTTTGTTTTTGTTCAAGCTCATTTGGAGAGTTGGTTGACATTGTTTGGTACAATTTGAAAATCCGAAATCACTTTGTAGAGCTACTGCATACTACTGTAGGTGGCTTGGAAATGTACAGACCCGAAAATGTATAACAGTGGATAGAATATTCCTAACTGCAGCATCTTTTGGGATTCCGCATAATAAGGTTGCTTGGCTTTCAGTAAGTTGGTATGTTCTTAGCAACTGCTGCCGGCTTTAGCTATGGTTACCCTTCGCTTTATACTGGGTTAGAAGAACTTAATTTAAGCTTGTATAGAGCTACAACATAAAAGCTAGCATAGGTTAAAAATCGGCTAATATGCTTATTCTTAAAACTTATTGAGGCAGAAAATCATCGCGAATTCACACGTTAATGTACAGGGTATAGCGTGCAATCGTGACTTTTTCTTAGTGGCAAGAACCCACTAATGTTAGTTAGTCAGTTACGGAACCTTCATCAAATCCACATAGGTTACCCAAGTTGATAATGCTAAAGAGATCCTTTCACTTTTCCATTCTTTTAAACCATTTGGTGTATTTTATGTAATTCAAGCAAGGTCTGAGAGCTGGGCACTGACAGAGGTAGTATTCCACCGATTCCTCCTCATCTATGTCCCTGCAGCCGCGACAGTGTTCGGTTATTACGCCGGTTTTTAAGCCTATGGAGGTCCGGTTTAGAAGGAGTAGTGGCTTAGTTCTCTTTGGGAATCCCACAAGAGTATTGGTATGCTTGTCACGGCTTAAGAAATATTAGTAAAGAATTTATTTACTACTTTTCTGGTGTATCTAGTGACCTCCTAGATATAAGATACCTCACTTCAGGGATTTTCCGTAATGTTTATTCTCCGTCTCTGACGTTCCGAAGATTACGTTCTAAGCATCTTTTGAGGCACTAAATGTTTCTTATGATAAGCCTTTAATGTCGTATCAGTTGGTCAAGTGTGCAACTGTGAGGGAAACCGAATTCAATGTACTGTCCGCATGACAAAAGTGGATAGAGTACTTTGGCAGGAACCAGCCTTCGCTGCAGTTAGTTTGAAAGTTGCTTTATCCAAATATTTGAAGAAAGTATGCCCGCTTGACCTCTTTCGAAGTCTCCAACCGGCAAAAGCTAAAACAGTAAACGTCTGAAACTTAACAAAAGTTCCGATTTAAATACTTTTTTTATTTGTACTTGAGGCGTTACAATGGAAGGAAGTTTCTTTTCCACCTTCCATCTTCTTCTGCGCTACGCCGACTGGTAGTTATGGTGGATATTGACATTTGATAAATACCTCAACCATATCCGTATTTTAGTGGCATTTCTCTGGGTGCCAATGCGTCTTTCGTGTGTGGCAGCATTTAAGGAGCATTGAAGTGGATATCACACACACACACACACAAACACACACACACACAGACACACCTACAACAACTGAACACACACATGTACATATATGTATATACATACATATATGCGACACCAACAATTACTAAGGTCGCTGCAGTCAGTCAAATCGTCACATGATTTCTACGAATCGCAGCAGCGAAAGACGAGTTAAGCGCGAAGCTCACTCAGTGCTGGTTGCAAGTCATGGCCAACCGATTGGTGGCAAACTCATTCTTGGAAATCAAAACTGCTGGAGTTGGAGATTACAGATGAAGCAACAACAACAACTACAACAACAACAACAGAAATATGTCTAAACAGCGAAACCAGTGCGAAGGCAGAGGTTGTGCAAAGGAGAAGAGTTTAAAAGGAAATGCAAACAAATATATGGACAACACAAAATGGAAAGACTATTTGTAAATACGTGCAACATGCATGCGAGCAACGTGCAACCGCAGCAGACAGTACGTCGCTAAGAGCTTGACGTGCAAAAGTCTGTGAAGACAGAACTGCTGGCAGCAAAGAAGCAAAAAAAAAGCAACTAAAAAAATAAACAATAAAATTGCCAATGATAACAACAGCAACAACAGCGCCTAGTCCATCAGTCGGCATAAGCGAATTGGCAACAAAAATACCAAAAAAAAAAAAAAACAGCCTGCTTAAACTCACGATTCTGTGCATGCCACACATTGGCAATGTTGCCACAAAGCGACAGCGAGCAATAAAAAGATGAGCGTGCGCACAATTCATTGCGTTATGATTGTGTTTAATATGCGCTAACAACAACAGCCAAACGAATTAACAACTATTATAACAACAACAACAACAATAAGGCAATAAAACAATAACAGTGGGTATATATGTTCATAAATACATACATATGTACAACAACAAACAAATGGCAAGCAGCTGAGGACAACGGAAACAATGTTGAAGACATGAGCAGCACTCATACAACATGCCTACATACACACACACACCCCATATAAATACACAAGCAATTGGAAATATACTGCTAATAAAATATGCAACAGTCTAACAACAACATGCTGACCCCGCCGGGCAGGCAGCGTTGATAAAATCCCAGCAACAATAAACGGCGTGTCGCAACAACTTGTGAACAGCAAATAGAGGGAGGCAGCTATGCAAAAAAAAGAGATAAAATTAAAAAAAAAATTAAAAAAAAAATTACAAAAAATGCAACAAAAACAAATTGGAAAATAAATGTCATATGAGTGTGTCGAAAAAGCCGCCGCCAAAAATTTGTAAAACTTGCCGCAAAGCATGGACGCACGCACGCACGCGCACACAATACCCGAAACGCGACGAAACGCGCGCATGTGCGATGTGAACGGACAGGACCACCACGATTTTGTACATTTTTGGGCCGCTATTTAGCATAATTTCAGACAAAAGCCAACCGCTGGACAGACAATACGACAACAGTCCGTTGTTGGCTTTGCTACTTTGCTCCTTGGCGGCAGCGGCGGCGTGATGTGCATTATTTAATAAATAATATTGATAATAGGCAGATGTAGTAATGGTGCGCTCGAAAAGAAAAAAGACTGGTGAACATCTTCAGTTGCACTCTTCTTGCAGTTGAGCTTCAATGCTCATAACCGTCATAAAGCATATTTTAATGCAACATTATGCTTGTGTGTGTGTGTATGTTTGTGGACAAACAATTGAATTTTGCAAAATATGCGCCAAAAAAATTCTCAGCGTCTGTCACTGTACGCCACACAATGTGTATATGTGTGTGTGTGTGTGCGTGTTTGCTTTCGCAATGCGTGCCCATGCGCATGCGCAACTTCGCCAAACTTATGAATTTATGCAAGTCGATTGTTGAAAGGTGCGCGCATACATATACATACATACATACATGTATTTATTTATTTATTTATTTGTTGCCGCGGTGAGCCGACCGCGTGGTTAAGCAGCAAAAGCGCAAACATGAGAACTCTTTGTGCCGCACACAATAAAATTTGTCGCTGATTTTTCGTAGTTGTCTCAACGTGCCTCAGAATATTTGTAGCATTTCTCCAAGGCATTTCTCCTTTTTATTATACCTTCAATGAGCCTAATGCTGCGCTGTTGTTGGATACTCGAAATACTAGTAAAAGTCGTTAGGATTAGAATGACGTACAATTTTGTCTGCTATATGGCTGTCTATCTGCAAAAATTATTTATCTATTATAATGAAATTGAACAACAATATTAATCATTTTCTAACAAATTTTGTTTCAAAAATGAGATTTTTGGCCAAAATTTTGTCAGCAAAACGCTTACCAACTTGGAGTTTTGATGTCATATCTACATATGTACATCACAAATGGAAAGTTTTCATGTGAAAAACGTAAATTTTGAATTGTTAAAATATCCAGTTAAAATGTAATTTATTGTTCAAAAACAGGTTTTCATTTCAAAATTACACAAAATAAAATATTTGAAGCTTGAAATTAAGCATATTTTGTTGCATAAATAAAAATATTAAAAAATAATAAAATATTGTTAACAGTTAAAATCATTGAAAATGGACTACATACGTATATAGCACTCAAACAACTATTGCCTCGAATTTGCCTTTTTGAGTGAAAACTCCTAAATTTTAGCAACTGAAAATAAGAAATTTTGTGTTTTATGTAAACGGTATAAATTTCTTGCTGCTAAAAGAGAAAAACATTAAAATCTAACGATTTTAACACACAACTTTCAAATATTTTTTCATTCGAAAATTAGTTTCAAACTCAAAAATCTCCTAAGAATACATTATTATTTAAAAAAATCTTAAAAAAGTCACCATCCATGAACGGTATAGTGTTTTAGACCCCTTTTGTTAATATTTCTCATATTTTTATTTTTTATTTAATTTATTTTGTATTCTCTTTTTATTTTGTATTCTCTTTTTATTATTTATTTTTATTTGCTTCACAAATGTATCACTGCGCCTTTGTTATTTCAATTTTTTTTTTATTTGTATCACCATTCGCTTGCCACCGATTGTGATAAATGTCACAGCATAGTTATTTATTTTATGACATTCCCGTGGTCCAGTTCTTGACTGTCCAGCATATGAGTTTGCTTCTTGGCCATGGCTGCTGCTACTATGTATTGTATTTACTTTGCGGCCATTCTAAAGGCATTTCACGTAGGCGCTACATTTTAGCGACATGTCAACGATTTTTTTCCTCTTGCAGCAAATTCGCAATACAACTTCCTTTGCATCCTTCGCCTCAATGACTTGCATGCTCTGTCTGTCGTTGCGTTTTTTTTTTTACTGGCTGGCGCATGCGACCATCTTTGTATGACCATCTTTTTGCCAAATTTGGCAACGCTGGTGGCATCTGCAGGCGTCTACACATCAAAAACTTGTCAATTTTAATGATTTCACTGACGCTTGAAACTGTCAAATCGCGCACAGAGTGCCGTTCTTGGCCGCCGCATGATACAAGCGTGTGCGCGCGGCATTTGTGGCATGCTACTGGTAGTAGCAGTAGCGGTAAGTCAGCAAGTGAGTGAGTGGCAAGTGGACGCAGAAGCAATAAGCCTTACAAATGAGCTCGAGTCAATGCGTGTTGAATGAGTTGAAAGGAAAAAAATAATTTATGATTCGTTGTTGCTCATTATTAGTATTGGCACTTGTAGTAGTTGTTAGCGGCAAAATATGAATTTTTTTATTCAATTTTTCTCTGCGGTGTCTTATTGTTTTATACCTGCTTTTTAATGCATTTTTTTAGTTTTTTATTTATTAATTTTTTTGTTTTCTTTTCTTTAATTTTTTTTTCTTTCGCACTCTTACTTGACCGCCGCGGCACGCATGTGTTTAACAAGTTGCTGCAACGCGTAATATTTAACGCCATGAAAAATGACGATCGCCACGTACGATTACATTTTTGAAATATGCACACGCAAAGTATTATTGTAGCCTTGTATGCTCGCTGCCTTGCTTGCTTGCAACATTTGCAACATGCTCGCTTACGCATGCCTAAGCATTGTATATAAATTCATATACGCGTATATATATATATATATATATATATACATATATATATATATATTTCTGCATTATATTTTAGTTTGCGATGCGTTGCACGCACTCTTGTCATCGATTGCTGTGCTAACATGCCACAAACAATAACAGCGGACTTGAGTTTGTGCCAACTACTGTAGCAAAATACATGTAAAACAAAAAAACAACAGCGATTTCAAGCAAGTCATCAGCACCAGCTTGGCGCAGCTCTGCTTCTTCAAGCTTCGAATCTCGTACGCGCACAGCCTTGCAACATACCACTTACAGCCTTGTAGTTGACCATGCAGCCATGTTGCTGGCAACTCCCTGTGGTCGGCTGTTGTTGTTGTTTTTGTTGTTGTTGTTATCTTCCAGTTAGCCAGCTAGCTGATTGCACTAGCGATTGTCGTTGTGGCATTGCTATGATTTGTGCGCACTTGCCGACATTTTCGAATGCCACAGACACTTTGGCGTGGCAACATTGCACTGCAAACAGCTTACTTTGAGTGTGAAGTGGTAGTGAAGATGTTTTTGTATGTTAGTAATATTTAATATAAGTGTTGTTGTTGTTTGTTGGGCGTTTGTACTTCCTTTGTCCTTGTGGCAAATTAATGGCTACTAAGCTGGGTTAGGCCCAAATATGCTTCAAAAGCGGACAACCAATGCAATATGTATGTATATACATATATACAATTACTTATAATACATATATATATGATTTAATACTTTAGTATTAGTTTTATACGCTCACTTATTTGTCTTTAACCTTTTTCTAAGGCATGCCACCTTGTGCCACCAAACGGAGTTTTGTAAAATGGCGTTTAGCGTTTTAGGTGACAATCAATTGAGATGCTTAGTCAATAGTCATTGAATGTTGTCAACTAGATTTTCTTTCAAAAAAAAAAAAAAAATAATAATAATAATTAAAAGAAAAATGAAAAAAAAATAAATAAAAATAAATGAAATCACATACTTATTTTCTATGTCATTAATTTGATTTCATTTTCCGCCTTATTTCTTCCTTTTACCTTTGATTCAATGTAATAGTCAATCCCTCATGGCCACTCTTGGTGGCCACTTGCAACATATTGTTTCAACTTGATTTAAGACCTGTCCATTGAAGTTGTCAGCTGTCAACATGTCGCCACACCGCACATAAATGCGCAAATTTGCATAGAAATGCATTTACTATTAGCCAGCAGTAGTAGTGAGTAATGTTGCTGATGACAAATTGTATGAGGAAAATGTTGGTGAACTATGTGAATATTATTAAGTTGCAACTTTATTTAATATTTTTTTTTGTTTGTTTTGTTTTACAGGAATTTTTAAATATTTTTTTTTTCATCATTTTGTTTAGTCAAAAAAGTTTAATTGATTAATTGAAAATAACAAAAAATCTTTCGTTGATCTTCAAGCAATATACTTCCCAATAAAAGGTCTGCTTTTCGATCTAACTGCAATTCCTTTTCATAATCACTTGCTGAAATTCATCCAATCAGATATTCGCCTGAGTACTGCTGTTTTTTTTCATTTCTTAATTTTCCTACGGACTTCGTTACCTTTGTCGCGTGCTTTAAATTCTATAGACCACAATTGTTGCCTACATTTAGGCTGTTATTTAAATTTCAGTAAAATCAAATTGGGATAATTCAAGTAAACTTTTCAAATAAATAAACTTAAGCCGAAAATAAAATCAATTAAAATTAAAAATTTAAAAATTAATTATTCTTTATTAGGTCAAGTAACAAGTCATCCATTATTTTGGTATGTATTAAATTGAAGCATTTATTTATCATAGTTAGCCCTTTCCGAATTATGTTATAACTTTTTGCCATTTTGATGGTGATGTCGCTATGGCTCCTTCATAGAAACCCTTGACCCTAAGACAAAAAGTTGGGATAATCTATTTCCACAGGCTTCTTTCTTTTGAGGCCAATTCTTTACCAGTCAACTCATTCGCTAAATACATAAACAGACAGTAATCACTTGTTGCGGACTACAAGGTGGCTACAAAAGAAGCTCCTAAGCCACTTTCGAAATGTGTAGCCCTGAAAAAACACAATTTCCCTCTTGTTGTGTTGGCCTGTTTGGAAGCTGGATGCTTCTTGGCGTTTGCTTCCTTTGGATGGTCCAGTTACTGGCAGTTCAGGTCCGAATCACACCGGAAACATACAACAAAATCTTCTTGACCTTCAATCTTTGTTTTCGCCGGCTAACTGGTCTTCAACCACCTTTGTTTGACGTTGCTGTAAGTGGTCTACCCGAGATTTCGATTTATTGCGGTCCATAAGTTCAAGCTATTCTGTGTATCCTTCCGTATTCAAGTGGCCCCATTGTTTGTGCATTGTTTAGCTCCTGGAAAATCGAAACAGTACTCGCATGACGGTAGGCCTCTGATTTAAATGATCCCCACTTTTCCCATTATATCTTTTAGTACAAAATATCATCTTTCTGCTAGAGATACAGATCACTGAAGTCTTCAGTTGCAACAAAATAATAGATTTACTAGGCCAAATTTATTTATTTATTAATTATATATAAATTTAATTTTTTTACTACCTTTTTAATTTACTTAAATTCGTTATTTATTATGCTCCATAAGATATGCACTGTTTTATTCTCAATGTCAAATAATACAAAAATTTGTAGTTGCCTACATTCAGGCGGATATTTGAGTTTTTTTTTTTTTTGGCTTTAAATAATAAATTCTTTACTGAAACTGTCTCTAAGTAATTGGACTGAAGGAAATAAATTGTTGCCAGTTTCTGGGCGTACCATAGCATTTTACGCGAATCGCCATTGAAACTGTCAAAATATACCTAAGTGAATTACGACTTTCGTAAAAAATTATTATTGCAGGTTCACTGTTGAACATCTTATATTTGAAATGAAAATTTGGAAAAAAATGTGAAACAGAGATATACTTTTTATTTTCAGTAAAAGTGTGCAATTTCAGAAATAAAATTTATTGAAAACTTGCAATTTTTTGAGATTTTCATTAATATTTTTTACCTTTGAAAACATTGTTTTCCACACTTTGCAAAGATTAATTCTCATAAGACAAATTTTATTTAATTTATATTCAGTATATATTGATCTGTTTAGTTTTCCAAAACAAGCAATTGCAAAAAGCTCTACACACATTTCCATTACACTGTACACACTTGTAGATACGTACATACACATTTACATACATTCATATAATACATGCATAGAGTATGTCATTGCCTACAAAATGGCCACAAAAATGGCGTATTTGCTTACACTGCAACACAGGCTAGACACTAGTGTCAGCAAAAAAATGCAAACATGAAATAAAAAAATAAAATAAATAAATAAAAAGTAAACACAAAAAAAAATGTGTACTTATGTATACACAAAAATCGCCAACTCATTCA